CCTGGCCTGTTCCCATCATAGCACCCTTGAAGACTCACTCAGGAAAGTCTTCCCTCCAGAAAGCACCCCTGAGCTCTCCAGCCCACACCTGCCCTTATACCCTGAAGAACAGGATGCAATACCTGGGCCCACGCAACCAGGCGTGCTGGTGCAGACATGTGGACTGCAGCCTTCTCTCCCAGCTCAGGACCATGGCTCGCTCTTCTCCTGTCTCCCAGAGCACCCAGCGCCCAGGGCCCTTAGGTGACCACATATTTGTCTTCCAGCTGAACAATCACCTCCACGGAGGCAAGATCTTTCGCTCTATTCCCCCACAGTCTGCACACGGCCCGGTAGATTGGAAAACTCAGCCAATCTTCGTGAGTGATGGATTAAAACGCCAGTCTCCTTGCCTGCCTGAGCCAGTCAAACCGAGATCTGTGCTGGAATCTCTCTGACTTGAAATTGGCAGGCATCTCTGGCAGGTTGCTCTGACTGGTAGCCCTTGACGTAGAGTCCTACAGATGGGGAGAGAAGAGGTGCAGGAGGCCAGGTTCCCACAAGGATACTCGTCCTATGAATTATAGGATAGCAAATTTTGATGAAACGTGGATTACATATTACTGAAGTCAGCTCATTTCACTCTGCTCTGACTTTACCCCTTCCAAACACTCCGTATTACTGATTAGGTCCCCAAGCCTGGTGGCACCTAAGTGAGAATGAGGAACAGTATTCTGTTCCTGAATAGCCTCCAGTACAGTGCACCACGTGGATTACTGCAAATACAGCGCACTGGATCAGCCACTGCCACATCCCTCCTAGAGCTGAGAAGGCAACAGCAACTTGGGGGTGAGGCCATGAATGCACTGGTGTCTGTCACCCGGGGTTCATGTGTAAGGCACCAGATGATCCTTGGGGATGGATTCAAAGTCCAAAGCAGGGAAGAGACACTGTCCTCTCCATTAACTGGAGCTCTGCTCCAGCCCCTGGGCTCCTAGCCGCTCATGGGCTGGGTTAAGGCTCTCATTAGTGAGTTCTCCACCTCACAGGATTGGATGAGTGCGACCAGGTCATTATAGGGTGAGATCTCCCCTTGTGTCTTTGCACATGCCCACCTGCCCTTCTGACTTGTGCTATGTAAGGAAGCAGCATGTGGGCCTTATCAGAGGCAGAATCTGATCTTGGACGTCCTAGAATCTATAGCCATGAGCCAAAATAACCCTCTTTATGCCAGGCATGGTAGTGCTTGACTATAATCCTTGCACTTGGAAGGCTCAGACAGGAGGATGGCTGAGTTCAAGGCCAGCTTGCACTACATAGTGAGACCCTGCTTCAAAAAAAAGGCCTCTTTATTAATTACTTACTCCTAGATATTGTTGTAGCAATAGGAAATGAACAAAGAGTGGAACACAGAGAAATAAGGACACTAATACAAATAAACCACAAAAAAAGACTTGAGCATCAAGTCTGACTACCAGGACGCTTCCTATCCCTGGACTACTGCACTACAGGGAGACTTGGTGGACAGCTATCACTTGGTGATGTGTGAATGTGGCCCCGACTGAAACTAAAGGGACAGTTTTCTAACCTGTTGCAAGTGGCAGGTTTGTGCATGTCATGCTGTCTGCTCTCGGGATACTAGTTAGGGTCCATAGCAGCCCAAGCTGTTAACACTGGCCTTAGGCTGCCTCCTCCATGACCTAAACATCGGCTTTATCTAAATGCATCATCACATAAAAAAGACTGGGGACAGAGGTGCCATGTGGGATGGTGACACTTTTTGGAAATACATATGGATGACTGTTTCACAATGTTTTGGATATACTTAAGAGGACTAGACTGCCACTTGAAACAGTGAAAATGGTAAATTTCATGCTATGTATATTTTACCGAAACTTTAAAAAACTCAGGAAAAGATTAGAAACGTTCCTACAGAGATCAGGGAAGCCACTGACTGGGGGACAGATGACAGAGGGTGGTGCAGCAATGTGTGGGGGTAAAGTGGAACTGGAATGTCCTCTCTCCCTCTCTTCTTCTGCCTTCCACAAATCCAGACTCTGTCTATGGTCGGCACCACCTTCTCCCCAAAGCTTTCTCAGTTCTTTCAAGTCTAAAGAACCCTCAGCTTGCCAAAGGCTCTGACTTTCTCTACTTTCATGCACATGGACATTTCATCTCCAGCCAGATTGTAAGTGCCTTATGACAAGTGGCGCGCTCTAAATCTCTCTGTCCCGTTGCGCAGTGGGACTAGTACAGACTTGGCGCGTACTGGCTCCTCTATCTATGCTCATGAGCTATAGTTTGCTTTTGGAAGAAGACTGAAGAGAAGCAAATAAACTTTAGGTAATTAAGAAAAGATTTCTGCATAAAGAAATAGCAAACTGCTTTATTTCCAAGCACTGTCACTCTCGGGGATGCGGTTCTAAAGAAAGAAGTTTGATGCTTTGCCAAGACAGCCATGCCTGGCATGGTGTGGGGGTAAACACTGCTGTCAGGAGACCATCGCCGACTTGAGTTTGGAACTCCTCCTTGGAACAGCCTTTGGAAAGCCCGACAGCCACGCTGCATCTTCTGAGCACACGTTCTTGCTTTTGATCACCACCAGACTTGACAGCAAACCACGCTACTCTTTGCAAACAAGCTCAAAGGGCAAAGCCAAGCCTGGTAGAGAATCTGAGAATGTGAAATGCTGGAAATGTCTGGAAGTGTTAGGTCTCACCAAATATGCTGCATGATCTAAAAGCTGTTCTGACACAAGAATTCCAGAATGTTTGGAGATGGGGAACCATTGTTATAGTGAGCATAAATATAGTTTTCATGTGTTTGAATTTGAAAGTCTGTGCAATTACTTTTCGGCAGAAACCCCAGGACCAGAGGCCAGGTAGACGGCTTTAGAGAGAGAAGCTAATCTGCTTGAAGAAAATGGGCAGCGGTGAGACTCAGAACCCTTGGTCCGAACAGGCCAGACGCTAGTTGTCAAATCTTCCCATTTTGCACAAGAGGAGATGGAAGTCCAGATTTTTATGTGAAATTTCAAGATATTTAAAACACTTCAGGGGTAAGGGGCAAACAAACAAGCCCATTTGCTGGTCACATCAGCATTAACGTGGAGTTTCCCACTCATTCGTAGCCGTGAAATTAAAAAACCCACCTGAACTCGTGGACGCCTGGCCCTTCAGGGAAAGAGGCTTCCTGTACAATGTCCATCCCTCATCGGTGTCTAGGTCTCATGTTCTTCTATCTGCTCCGGTGCTTCGCTTTTGCAATCTGACTTTACTCCCATGCCCCTGACACTGCTGTCACTGACTGAATGGCTGCTGGCTGCAAGAGGCTTGGACATCCTGAGAATGTGTGAGCTCTCTGCAGCCCTCGACTGCCCCCTCCATCCTCAGACTCTGCTCTTACCTTGGCTCCCTGGCTGCCCTTCCTTGGGGTCTTCTTCCCATCGCCCCACCTCCACCTTCACCCCCATTCTCCCAATCTTCTTTAGCGGCTTCTGTCAACGAATCCACGGCTTTCAGACCCGCCTGGCTCCCTGAGCTCTGCACCTGCACAGCCTGTTTCTGATGGGTCCCATGCTGGCCACCAATTTGGCAGCACCAAGACTGCTGCCCCAGGATAAAACTACTCTTCTCCTGTGGAAACTTTTCAGGGGAAGGCCACTGTCATCTAGCTCCTGAAGCAGAAATCTAGGCCTCCACCAAATCCCCCACTCCCTCTCGACAAGTCCTACACATCTATCTGCCTAGTAAGCATCTCTTGAATTCACTTCTCCACCTCCTCCAGCACAGCCAGCCCTGGTCACCGCCACCTTGCACACTGATGACTGTGCAAGACCCCAGACTTGTCCTCTTCAGCCACATGCCTTTCTAAAATGTGTGACTGTGAAGTGGCCAGGTTCCCGCCCTGTGCAAGCCCTGCTGTGGGCTGCACCCCCTCCGATATACAGTTCAAACTCTTGAACTAATAACAGCCTTTGCAGCCCTCAGGCCACTTCCCTGGCCTCTCGCCCCTCGCTGGGGGCTCCAGCCCCATGAGAGTGTGGACACTTCCTCTTGTATCTGTACCCGCCTCCAGCTTACGCTTACCCTACCACATCCCTTTTGAGTGTCCCATGCCCTTTCTACAGGTGTTACTAGAAGCGTCCCCATCCTGCAACCTCTCTTGGTCTCTCCTGGACGACTGGATGCCCTCACTGCTACACTCGAGAGGCCCTGTGTACATGCCCTATACCAGCACTTCCTGTGCTCACTGTGAGCTCTGTGAGGGCCGGGTCCCTGCTATCTTGCTACCAGGTGTCCCAGTGCCCAGCAGAGTGCTTGGAAGGCAGGAGCAAGGCACCAATACACACTCACTGGGGTTGTTTTTTGTGCTAGTGATGCAGATTTGCACAGGGCTTCCACTGTTGAAACCAACTCTCTTATCTTAGTGAAAAAGCGCAGGCCCAGGGGAACAAATGCTGTTGCTCCAAATCGCCCAAGCTGCCCTCTAAAAACCCAGGAAGCCCCTATCACCCTGCCACCCAACCCCAGTTCCCACAGCCCATCAGGCAAGCGCAGCTGCAGGGACTTCTGGACCAAGCATCCTCCCTCAGGAGAGCACCTGGTGCACTGTGTGACTGCAGATCCTCCCCACCTAAGGCGGGCAAGGCTTCGGTACGGAAGCCCCCTTGAGAGAGCTGCAACCAGGCCACCAAGGACAGAGCCCCAGAGCTTAGGGTGGCATGCCCTCTCCATGGGGACAGCCAGAGTAGCAGGTCTCCTCCCTGCTTTCCCTTCAGCTCTAGTTGGCAACACCTGGCATAAGGGGACTGTACACTAATGTCCCTTTCAAGTCAATTTTCTGGATCAGGGCAGTGGCTTGGCAATTTAGCATCTGACATTTTTACTCAAAGCAGCCAATAGCAGCCAGCCACATTTAACTTGCCCAGGACTGGGAGGGAAGGGGGCACTTCCTGTAGATGGAGGTGGGACGTTGGATTGAAAAGTCAGCCCCCTCCCACCAGTTAACAGCCCCAGGACTTAGGATTTGAACTTTAATGACACCGAAAACACAGACAACCATTCTTTCCCTCCCACCACGGGTTCCCAGCCCATCTGCCTTGGTCATGTTCTGCCTTCCCATGAGACCTGTGCAAGCTCTCTGTGCCTTGTTTCTTACAATTCGGAGCTGGAGATACTTTGTGGGCTTTTCCAGACACAGGGGTAAGGACAGTGGTCACAGGAGTCCAGGCCACTGCGCTGATGGGCCAGGAGGTCTCAGGGCAGGAGGCTCCCGAATCTGAGCAATGGAAGGATCCTAGAGAGAACAGGCTCAGAAGAGCGGGGCTGGCGCCACCTCGGTGGGAGTGGGCCAGGCTGAGGCTGCCAGGTCCGCGTCAGAGGGTGGGAGGGTGGCTTCGCCGTGGATGCGCTGATGCCGCACCAAGTGCGTCTTGCGGCTGAAGCTCTTGCCGCACTGCAGGCAGGAGAAGGGGCGGGAGCCCGTGTGGATGGCCTGGTGGCGGACCAGGTTGGTCTTGGAGCTGAAGCTGCGGGCGCAGATGGCACAAGAGTGGGGGCGGCTGCCCGTGTGCACGGCCTGATGGCGGCCCAGGTGCGACTTGCGGCTGAAGCGGCGGCCACACTGGGCACATGCGAAAGGCCTGGCGCCGCTGTGAGCCCTGGAGTGGGCGACGAGATTGGGCCGAGAGCCGAAGCGGCGGCCGCACTGCGCGCAGGCGAAGGGCCGCTCGCCCGTGTGCACGCGCCGATGCCGCGCCAGGTGCTGCCCGTGGGCGAAGCCGCGCCCGCAGTCCGGGCAGAAGAAGGAGCGCTCGCTGGGGACGCCGTGTGGGGGCGCCTCGGGGCCAGGGCCTGGGCTGCCACCAGGCTCGCAGGGCAGCGACTCGGTGGTAGCGGGGTCCGCGGTGGTACCCAGGGCGCACTCGTCACACCCAAAGGGGTGAGCCTCGCTGCGGTGCAGACTCTGGTGCATGGTGAGGTTCTTTTTCCAGCCAAAGCTCAAGCCGCAGTCCGAGCAGGCAAACGGCTTGGGCCCGGGAGGGGACGGCGTGGGGGACGCAGAGGGGGAGTGGAGTGAGGGGGGTGCTTCGGGGCAGGGCCGGGTCCCGCCGGCGGTGTCATGCACCCTCTGGTGCCGCACCAAGTGCTGCTTGTGCGTGAAGCTGCGCGCACACTGCATGCACTGATAGGGCCTCTCGCCCGTGTGGATGCGCTGGTGCCGGATCAAGTGCGTCTTCTTGCGAAAGCGCTTCTCACACTCGGTGCAGGGGAAGGGGCGCTCGCCGGTGTGCGTCTTCTGGTGCGAGCCCAGGTGTATCTTCTGGCTGAAGCGCTTGCCGCACTCCGCGCAAGGGTAGGGCCGCTCGCCCGTGTGCGTGCGCAGATGGCGCGTCAGGTGCGCCTTCTTGCTGAAGCGCTTGTCGCACTCGGAGCAAGGGAAGGGCCGCTCGCCGCGGTGGCTGCGCTGGTGCAGCAGCATGTGGGCGCGCTGCGTGAAGCTGCGGCCGCAGTCCGGGCAGGCGCACGGGCCCTCGCCTCGGTGCAGCCTCTGGTGCAGCCGCAGCGTCAGCTGGTCCCGGAAACGCCGCTCGCAGTCTCCGCAGCCGTAGGGCTTCTCTGGGACCCACCCGGGCAGCGCCAGCCCACCCAATGTTCCCGGGGTCCCGGGCTCCAGTTTGTACGAGGCTGCCAGGTGCCCCAGGTCGGGCGCCGGAAAGGGGCTAGGAAGTAAGGCTAGATGCTGGGGCCATTCGACCTCCTCTCCTGTTTCCTGATCCTCATCCTCCACCTTCACCTTCCGAATCATCCACTCGTCGCCTGAACAGTCAAAACAAGAAGTGTCTATTAAACCCACACACCGCCATGTTTTTTGGCCAACAGGGCCTGCTTCTGCTTCCAGGAGCCCTGCAGCCTGATCCCCACCACCACACACAAAGGTTGCATAGACCTTTCCCCCTGAAGCCCTTCCCTGCATGCTCTGTGGGCAACACTTCCCCTTCCTGCTGCCTGGGCAGTCCTCGGGCTCACCAGGGAGTTCAATCCCTGCACCCCCTGCCCCCTCCCCACTTCAACGTTAACATTAAGATGGCAGCCCCTGCTACCAAAAGGACCTTGATACCACCCCTTTGCTGCTTCTGCTGCTCTCTGCCCCTCTGTGGCCAGAGTATAGGGACACTTCGGTACCCTATTTCCTGGGGAGCTTCCACTAAAGGTATCTATTATGGAGGCAGAGCCATGATGCTTGTGTATTCTTACTGTTGCACCGAGGGTTAAACCTAGGGCCTTGCACACGCTGGGGAAACATGTTACCTATGAGCTATATCCCAGCAGGTCTCACTCACTAAGTTGCCCAGGCTGGTCTTGAACTTGCTATCTTCCTGCCTCAGCCTCCCAGAATGCTGGGATTACAGGCATGCACCACCACGCCTGACTGTTCTTTCGTTAGAACTCCCAGAGTAAGTCTTGAGAAATAATGAACTAGATGATCTGAGTTCCCGTGAAAGTCTATCATAGCCTGAGCTTTGATTCATCTCCTCCCAGTTCCTTCTTTCAATCCACTGATTTGGTTTTTTTGTTTGTTTGTTTTTCTCCGGTACCGGGAACCGAACTCATGACCTTGCGCTTGCCAGGCAGGCGCTTTGCCGCTGAGCTAAATCCCCAGCCCCTTCAATCCACTGATTTGTAACAGCTATTTGTCACACTGTGAGGTCGCCTGTATTTTCACCGTGCCTGTCCTGTCAAGAACCATCAGAAGCTCCCCATTATAGGATAAAGCAGGTTCTAGCTGCATTTGAGGCCCACTCAAACCTGTCCAACTTTCTTTTTCCAGATGTGAACCCTTCCCTTCTACCCTGCTGCTCCTTCAACCCCAGTCGCGTGCCTGTCACTTTTCCTGCTTCAAAGTCTTTCTCAGCTCAGACTGTCTCTCCATCCTACATCCACCCTGCTTCGGGGCTGCAGACTATGCCTCTATCAAGGTGCAGCCAAAGCAGCGTTTCTAACAGATCTGATGTACACGGATCTCTTACCATAAACCTGTAGCACTTTCTGCGAACACTTTCACACCTATTTGTCTATTTCATACAGTTTTCAGTTCTTTGTCCTGGTTCATATTAATTCAAGCAGATTTTAGCTTCTAGAGGGCAGGTATCTGTGTTCTGACTTTGTGTCTAATAACAAATGTCTTTCTGTGTCCAATAATACATAGAGATGAAGATCATCACTATTTATCAAGGGCCAGTATCTGTACACTGTCACATACCTTTACGACAATCATGAAGTTAGTATTATCCTGGTCCACAGGGAGACAAACTGGCTCCTGGCGAGGACCCAGCCTATCAGAGCCCTCAGCAGGTACTCTAAATGTAACGCTGGTGTTCAAACCAGGTCTAGAGCCAATCTGATCTCACTGTGCCCAACACAGCCTATACATAGCAGTCACTAAATAAATTGTGTTGGAGAAGTGATGTCACTCAGGTAAGGGGTGATTCGGACGGTGGTAGTGGAAGGAAGTGAGGGTGGGGTTGTGGAGTGACGGCCCTGGGTACAGAAGAGATGGGCTGACTACATGCTACCCCTGGGATCAGCAGACATTTTCAGGACAGGGAGAGAGAGTGAAAAGGTTGCTCGACATCCTTTACCTTTGCTGCTGTTGCGATTCAGGTGAGCAACGCCATGTATTTAGGCTGGGGGGCTTGAGGAGGGGAGTTAGGGCTTCTAGAGCAGGATATCAGGCAAGGTGTTTCCTCTTTGGGGAGTGGCTCTCCAGTTCTGCTGCCTACAGATGGGAACTTGCTTTGGGCACTGGAGAAAAGAGCGGGGCTTGAACTCGAGCTAGCTGGAAGGGCCTGAATGGTTGTCTTTGCGGGAGGGGGCAGATGTGCCTCATCAGACAGCAGCTGGGGAGCCTGCCGGGTCCTGTTCCCCTTGTTTGACCCCACGGTGGATGCAGCAACAGGCAAACTCACCGGAGCAGGAGCCCACAGGCTCAGCCTTCTGTGGGCTGCACATCTGGCCACCTCTGCAGGGAGCCTCGGCTTGTTCAGTCTGGGCACCTTCCTCCGCGCCAGGGACCTCATGTCCTGGGAGGGAAGAGGGGACCTCAAGCGCTCTTAAGGCATCACAGGCAGATGAAAGTCCCCACTGGTGCTGGTAAGCAGGGCAACCATAAACACCACTCGCACCCCACCCACAGGACTCGGTCCCACATCATACCTGCAGGCCGAATGCCCAGCGGCCCAGGGCGAGGCTCCTTCCCCCAGGGCAGCTGCTAAAGGTGTGAGGGATGGAGGAGCCACAATTGAGAGGCCTTCTGAGGTCGTGGCCTGAGGCTTACCTGAGGCTCCCTGTGCTTCCCAGAAGCCAGGCGGACCCCTCACCCCTAAATGAACTCCAGTTGCAAGGCAAATCATTGCTGAGGATCAGCACATCAAAAGGCCAGGCATGCACACTTTGGCCCTAGGCACCCAGTCCTGGCTGCCCTTTCCGGAAGCTCTTCTCCGGAAGTCCCCATAGCTACCTCTCACCTCTTCCAAATCTTCCCACCAGCCTTCTCTCAGTACCCTAATGAGCCCCACCGTGCATCTCCCGCAACCTGCAGCCTCTCCCTGTGCTCTGTGCCCTCCCCCGACAGAACAGATCATCTAACACTTTCTAACCTCTCTCATTTTACACTTACTGCTGGTTGACTCTGTACTCTCTAGGATTAAACTCCTTGAAGGTGGAGATTTTGCGTCACCAAGATATCCCAAATGGCTAGCACCTGGCACAGAGCAGGTGCTCAGTAACTACTTGGTGGAAGAGAAGAATAAAGGCCGCAAGAGTTACTCCCTTCACGGCCCGGCATGGTCCCCGCCAACTTACCTGAGCGTGTGCTCAATGCGCTTTCTTCCCTGGCAGAAGACATCTGCCCCTGGGCATTATGAGACCCGTCCCTGGGCTCACTTTGGGGGGCCATCTCTGGCTGTCCCACAGAGAATCCTGTCACAGGCAGAAAGATGGGTCCAAGTAAAGCATCCCACCCAGAACTGGTGATCAGAGGTGGGGACCTGCTTGGAAAGGACACAGCATGCTGTCAGCACACAGCCTGACTGGTACCAACTCAGCCCCTTGGAGTTAAGGATGGTGGGAGGAATACAGTAAGGAAAACACACTTCAATCCCAGTGCTCTGTGGGTGTTCATGGTCACATAGCCGGACGCAACTCCCGTGTTCCAGGCAGTGAAATACCCCAGGGCCTGGATGGATGCTGCCCTACATATGCCACGGCCCCTCCACGTTCCCCTGGGGTCTGACTCACCCAGGGAGCTGAGCGCCTCCAGGGTCTCTCTCATGACAACAGGGAGCAGCCCCTCTTGGGGATCAGGCCACAGACCCTAAGGAGAGGAGGCAGCTTGTTCAGGTTTTCCTGCCAGCTCCTGCCTGCACCCTGGTTGTGCCGACCTCGCCCTATGACCCCTCCCTAGGAGCTACAAAGGGGATGTCTGGGAGGCAGAGACCTTGAAAGGCGAAGGCCCCAGGAAGCCACCTCTTCAAGCACCTGGCAGGTCTCTCAAAGCCAGCCCTAGCCCACAAGCAGCACCACCCCATGGGCACCCCACCTGCACCCCAGTGTCTTTGCCCGCAGAAATGCAGGAACCATGTGATTCTCTGGGGAGAGAAAGGAGGGTGGGACACCAGGGTAGGTAGGGGGTGGGACACTTCATCCCTTGGGTCCTTCAGCTGTCACTGCTGGAGCTGGTGAAACAGAAGCCAGCCAGGGCGAAGGTGAATGTCTCTTTAGGGCTGGGGGCGCTCTCTGAGAAGAGTCCTTGTTAAAAGTAGGCCATGACTCTAGCTTCCTCTTCCTAACCCCTACCTCAAAACCACCACCCCCAGGAGACTTCCCAGGCTGGGACACCCCCCAGACCGAGACACCCTCCTCCCACACACCCCACCCCGGTCTCTTGTTCCCTTCCCTAGTCCTCCTCCTGTAGGCTCCCTGCCCTTCCCCCAGCAGGCTCCCCTCCCCCTCTCCTAGGCTGGCTTCCCTCTGCCCCTCCCCGCTCCCTCCCCCTCTGCCTTCCGCCCTCTCTCCCCACCGAATCCGGTGTCTGCCCGGAGCTCCTCCCCCTGCCCCGCCCCTCCGGGTCTGCCTCTCTGCCGCTGCCCCCCACCCTGCTCCGGGCGGGCGGTCCCAGCTTCGCTCCCCTCCCCCTCCCGTCGCCCTTCCCCGTCCAACCGCGGCTCTCCCCGCGCCACCCCCTCCCCAGCTGCACTCTCTCCCTTCCTTCCCCTCCTCTTTTCCTTCCTCCCCGACACACGCCCTCCCCCTCCCAGCGAGTCTCCCTTCCCCCTCCCTTCTCCCCTCCCCCTCCCACCCCACTTGGGTTACCCTTCTCGTCTCCTACCTCTCCCCTCCCCCTCTCTTCCCCTCCCCTTCCTCTCTTCCCCTTTCCTTTCCTTGTCCTCTCTTCTCCTCCCCCTTCCCCTCCCCCTTCCACCTTCTCTTCCCCTCCCCCCCTCACCCTCTTCCCTTCCCCCTCCTCTCCCACTCCGGTTTCCCTTCCTTCTCCTCTCCTCCCCCTCTGCCCACTCCGTCCTCCCTCCCTCTAGCAGCTCTCCTCCTTCCGCGGCCTGCCCTTACAGCCGGCTCCAGCTTCGCTCCCCTCCCCCCGGCTCCCCAGAACCGCTCTTCCCCTCCTCTTTCAGCCGGCTCCCGGGTCTCCAAGCCTGCGGTCCCCAGTGACCTCGCGCGGTCCGGACCTTCTCGCGGGCCCTGCCCCTCCCAGCCCCGCCGTCCTTCGGAAGCCCTCTCTCCCCGGCACACCCCCCTCTCCGGGCCCCGTCCCCATTTCTGCTCCCCGAGGACTTCTTACCCCCTCCCAAGTTTTCCTCGAGACCAGATCCCCACTGCGCCTCCACACCGCGCGGGTCCTCCGGAGTCACTCCGGTTCCAGTCACCTGTCAGCGCCCTCCCGAGCTGCCCAACCCTGCGCCCCGTTTTTCCATCTTCCCTCCCTTCCGCACCCCCTCCCTACTCCCCTCTTGGGACCTCCCGGCCCCTCCCCAGCCTCCACCCTTCTAGGGTTCCCCGGCCCTTCGCTCTGTCCCGCGACCCTCCCCCTGGTGCCTCGACCCCCCCCCCCGCCCTCTCCCCCTGACCCCTCCCCCGGACCCCTCCCCCGAGCCCTATCCTCCGGGCTGTCACCTGCGCGGGCAGCGGGCCGGGCGCCCGAGGCGGGCGGCGAAGCCTCTGCTCGCACCTGCCTCGCACCTGCCCCGCACCTGGCCCCTACCTGGCGGGTCCCCTAGCAGCTGCCCGCGGGGACCCAGGCGCCCGCGGCTCCGCGCACAATGGCGCCCGCCGCCTGCAGCCCGGTGCGGACTGCCGGAGACCGACGGACTGACAGCCCGAAACTTCGCGGGAGGAGGAGGGCACGCGGGGTGGGGGGAGAGGGGCCGGGCAGCGGCGCCGAGGGGGCGGGGACCGAGGGAACGGAGCCGGGGCGCCTGCTCGGAAGAGGTGGGGAACAGGGGCCTTGAAGGGTGAGGGTCCCGGCAGGGCGCTCGGGGCGCTAGGTGTGCAGGTGGTGGCCGGGAGGCGCGAGGCCCGGGGAGGTGGAGGAAAGTGGGATCCGGGGAAGGGAGGAAGGGCTCCCGGGCTGCGGGGAGGGAGGGAGGAGGGTGCTTGGAGGGAGGAGCTGGGAAAGGTGGAGCGCGCTGGGTGTGTGTGCGTGCGTGTGTGTGTGTGTGTGTGTGTGTGTGTGTGTGTGTGAGTTGGGGGACGGGAGGGGCGCGCTTGGAGAGGGGATCTTGGCTGTGCGCGCTGCCGTCTACAGCACGGGTGCTAGCGGGTGGCGATGGGTCGGCGGTCGTCTGGGAGACCACGGCCCGCTGTCCACTGAGATCCCACCCGGATCCCTCTTGATCCACCGAGATCCGATTCGAGAGCCAGGACGGGAGCCCTGGGAGGTGGAGGGAGACGAGCGAGCTGGGCCCTCGGGGTAGAAATTGGGGAGCCGCAGGCTTGGGGTTGGGTCCCCTGGGCGAAGAGAGGGCGGGGCTGACCTCAAGGCTGCAGGGGGTGAGGGGCGGAGACTCCGAGGGCAGGGCGCGGTGAGGGGAGGGGGCGCTGCCCCGGAGCCTCGGGACTCAGGCGGAGGGCTGCGCTGTCCTCAGCCCTCGGATCTGGCTCCTCTGGACCTCGCCCTCCGGTCCCACCTTCTCAGTCAAGCTCAGTCCTTTCTCCTCGGCGTTGCCCCTCTGCACCCCGACTCCTGGAACGCCCCAGACCCGTCTTGCTCGAATTCAAATCCTGGCCGGTTGCGCTGGGCCTCCTCCCCACGATCTTTCTACAAACTCCCCAGGGCTCCCACTTCCTCCTGCCCGCCCCTGTAGGGGAAAGGGCGGCTTAGACTTGCAGTCCAGAGCTAGGAGACTGGGAAGGGAAGGCAGGGGAAAGCACCTGTGGACGGAACCAGCGCTGCTGGCTAATCACCCCAAAACAAACCATGGGGACATCCGTGCAGTCTGGACGCAGTGACCCAGCGCTGGCCTCGAGAAGACGGAAGCTCTGGCACACAGCAGAGGTCCTCTCAACGTTTGCGGGTGGTTAGAATAAGAGGTGTATGACTCTGGGTGACCTGGAGAAGCTAGGGGATGTGGAGAAGCCTCAGAGTGGGGTTCCTTCAGGTGTAGATGTGTAAACTCTTCTAAGCCCCAGTGCTCGCTAAACTGCAGGCGGCCAGGAGCAGAATGTGCCTCCCTGTGTACTCTGGGCTGGGGTTTGACACCTGGGGGGGGGGGTCCCCGCAGGCAGGACACTGAAGGAGGGCATGACCAAGGGTGAGTGTGAGAGAGGCTGGAGGAGCAGAGACTAGGACAGACCTTGGGCCCTTCCCAGGACCCCTGGGACCCTCTTTGGGGCCCAGACCCTATGGTGGGCCCAGGAGAGGCGGGAGCTGGTCCAGCTCTCACTGCCCAGATTGGATGGCTGCACAGGACGCTTGGTGGGACATCCAGGCTTAGGAGCTGGAGAGCTGCATTCCAGCCTGGTGTCCTCGGAGCTCTGCTGGTAACCAGGATATGACTAGGGTTCTCTGGTGGAGCCTGTCATTGCCCCCTCCCAGCCGGACGCTGGGATTATTCCATCCGGCTCAGTTCTGCGCCTGACCTGGGGGGGGTGCCTCCCACCCCACCTGTCTTTCCATCATGCTCACCTCTCAATCCTTAGCCCTAATCCTTAGCCCAGGCATCCCACAAAGCCCCCACAAGGACCAGCCACACATAATCCCCCTTCCTAAGCTCTCAGGTCCCACAGAGGAAGGGTACACATTGTCCTCTTATCTTCCAGGTCCCCTGGCCTTCAATTCCAGAGTGCATGGCGTGGTGGGAAGGGGGACAGAGGAGGCAGGAAAAGAGCAAGTAGAACACCATACTGAAGTCATTTTCGCCCATCATTTAGCCCAGTAACTTTGAACGTTTTGGTGGGGCACCCCTTGAGAATCTAATAAAATTTTGAAACTGTGCTCTGAAAAATGTGTGCACTCAAAATTTCAAGGAGCTCATGGGTCTCTGAGTCCCATCTGTGCATCCCTGGGGAGACCATGAGGTTTTTCCTAGTCAGAAAAGGAAGTGCCTTGCCCAGAGTCCCATGTTAATTTGCAGTGTGCCTGCATGTGTGGGAACCCCAGAGGCCCGTAATGCCTGGCTATGTTTCCCTAGGGAGTGACATGCGCGCGCGCGCGTGCACACACACACTAGCAGGAGCAGAAGGGGCCCATTTCCAGCTGGCCTCTGAGGGGAGGGTGCTAGCAGGTCCAATCCAGTTCTGAGCAGCTGTAGCCCATAGGCATGAGGCCAGGATAAAGCCTCCCTTCTACCAGGGCGCAGCCTTGGGCAGGTTGGCATCCTCTCTGCTCTGCTGTGGCAGCACAGGCAAAGCCCGGACCTCAGGTCTCCTGAGGGTGGCCTGGGAGTCAGGCACCATGCTGCTTCCTGTCCTCCTCTTTGGGATGCTGTGGGTTCTGGCTGATGGGTAAGCAGCCCACCAGGACCCTCCCAGCTACGATCCTCTGGCTGATACCCAGGGACCCTGTGCAGCACCAGACTTGCCTTCCCGTGCTTCTCTCTCCAACCTTAGCCTCCTCCTTGTTTCAGGGACCTCCGCTGGGAATTAGCTCTTATGGGAGGAGTGGGGTCACAGGACAGGGCTTCCTAAGGACGGAGGAGGCGGTGATAGTAGCTGTGGCCTCCTATCCTGGACAGGCGGTGGTGTGAGTGGACAGAGATCATCCACATGGAGGAGGAAGTAGCCCCCCGTCAGGAGGACCTGGTGCCCTGCACCAGCCTCTACCATTATAGCCGCCTCGGCTGGCGTCTGGACCTGCCCTGGAGTGGCCACACGGGGCTCACCAGGTCCACAGCACCTGGGCTCTGTCCCATCTACAAGTGAGTGAGGGTCTGAACCAGGGCTGTCTGGGGGGCTGGAAAGGAGTGATGGGTGGACCTCCTGTGATGGTAGCAGACATGGCACAAACAGGGATTTGGGAAGTCGGGCCCGGTGGACTTGGGGTAGGGCAGAGAGTATGAGATCAGGTGGGTGGGTGAGGGTACCATGGTGGACGGGACAGGAAGAGGTGCAGTGCCTCTCACATTGCATTTGGGGAAATTAAGCCCAGGAGGAGGTAAATTACGTGATCACCTGATGTACGCTCAGAGGAGGTGACCACACCTGATAGCCCAGGCTGTTCCCTGCTTTGGCACTGGGCTGAATACTAATATCTCTCCCTGCTTCGCCCTGCTTGGTGCATGCAGACCCCCTGAAACCCAGCCTGTCACCCAGAACCGGACAGTGAGGGCCTGCTGCCCAGGCTGGGGGGGCACACACTGCACTGATGGTAAGCGTGGGCATTGCTGGGGGTTCCTTCTGGGGTCCTGAGCAGACCTGTATCTGTGGTTCTTAACACCTATGTACGATTGGGGGGGGCAGCCAGGCTGAGAATCCTAGGTCGTCCCTATGCCGACGCCTGGGCGTACCCCATTCTCTCCACCTGCCACAGCCCTTGCTAAAGCCAACCCCGATGGCCTCTGCTTTGCCACGTGGCAGTGCCAGCCTCTGGCAGGCTCAGCTAATGCTTCGGCAGGAAGCCTGGAGGAGTGCTGTGCCCGGCCCTGGGGACACAGCTGGTGGGACAGCAGCTCCCAGGTCTGCCTCCACTGCTCCAACAGACACCTCCCAGGTGGGTCTGCAGGCCCCAGTGCCAGAGCAGCATGTCCTGGCCATCACGCCCACACCTCCCCGGGCCTGGATCTCTGGGCTTTTCTCAGGGTCCTGCCCACTTCCCTGCCCCCAGAGCAATCATGCGCTGTCCGCACACCTCCCGCAGTGCCAGGACTGTGCCCTCAGCTCAGCCTTCCCCCTGCACTCGGAGCCTCACTCTGATGTGATGTGTCTTGCCCAGGGGATGCCTCCTCTGCAGCCCTCCTGCAGCCCCTTGCAGGGGCCGTGGGCCAGCTCTGGAGCCAGCGCCAGCGACCCTCAGCCACCTGTGCCTCTTGGTCAGGCTTCCACTACCGCACCTTTGATGGACGCCACTACCACTTCCTGGGCCGCTGCACCTACCTGCTAGCGGGTGCTGTTGATTCCACCTGGGCTGTCCACCTGGTGCCCGGAGGCCACTGCTCCCAGCCTGGGCACTGCCAGCTGGTGAGGGAGGGCACCCCCAGGGAGGGGACTGGACACGGGCAAGGAGAGTCCCTGACCCATTTCACTGTGGACCTCCCCAGGTCCGGGTGATGATGGGCTCCGAGGATGTGCTGATCCGGGGTGGTGCCGTCTCTGTGAAGGGACAGCTGGTACCCGAGGGGGAGTCGCGGCTGCTCCACGGTGAGGGCCCTTTCCCTTTTCCAGGAGGGCCTTCCCACCAGGGCAGTAGAGGGGCAGAGCTGCTGCGTTTCCACCATGGCCCATGGGAGGTGCCTGGAGATGAGGAGCTCGGCAAGGACAGGCCCTGGTCCAAGTGTGGCCTTGGGCAGCTTCTACTGCTTAACTCTTCTGCGCCTCAGTTTCCCCATCTGCCTCACAGGCTATTACCCCAGCTGGGATCACAGGAGTGGGGTGAATGTGTGTGTATGTGTGTGTTTGCTATATGTGGTATATGTGAATGTGTGGTATGCGTGTGTAGTGTGATATGTGTTTGTGTACAGTATGTGTGATTGTGTGTGCTATGTACATTTCTGTGTGGTGTTTGTGGTGCATTGTACATGTGTGTATGCTGTGTACATACAGTGTACGTGATGTGTATTTGTATAGGTGGTGTGTGTATGTATGGTGCATCTGTGAGGTGTATGTATGATGTATGTACACAGCATTTTGTATGTGTGCGTGGTATGGTGTGTGTACATGTGTGTGTGATATGTATATGATGTGTGTATGAATGGTGTGTGTATATATAGTGTTATGTATGTGTGTGTGGCATGTATTATGTATGGTGTGTGTACATGTGTGAGGTGGGTGTAGGATATTGTGTGTATGGTATATGTATAGTGTTGTGTGCATATAGTATATATATGTGTGGTGTGTGTGTGAGGTGTGTGTATGATAGTATGTGTGATGTATGTATAGTCTTGTGTGTTGTGTGTGTGTCGTGGTGTGTATATGTGTGTGACAGTTTATATGGTGTGTTTCTATACATGGTGTGAATGTATGGTGCGTGTGTATATGTTGTGTGCGTGGTGCATGTATCATGTATTGTGCTGTGTACAGTGTTGTGTGTATGTGTATGTGGTGTGTGTGGTATGTGTGATAGCTTAGCCTCTTAACAGCATCCATAGTTCCACCTCAGGGGGCTGGGGATTTAGCTCAGCGGCACAGCACCTGCCTGGCAAGTGCAAGGTCGTGAGTTCAATTCCCGGTACCAGAAAACAAACAAACAAACAAACAAAAAGCTAAACATAGTTCCGCCTCAGGAAAACAAGGGCTGAGCTCTCGAGAACGGCAAGAATTCCTCCCGTCCCTGGGCAGTTGGAGCCCTGTGGTGATGGGCACAGGACACGGACCCTGGCGGCCTGATGACTGCCCTGTTTTAGTTACTTTTCTCGTTGCTGAGACAAAATACCAATCCCCAAAGTTAAAGGAGGAGAGGTGTATTTGGCTCACAGTCAGCGGAGGTTCAGTCCATAGTCGGCTGGCTCTGAGGCAGGGTGTCTCGGCAGAGGGGCATCACAGAACAGAACAGTTCATGGTGCCCACAAGACGGCAAAAGCAGCAAGGGAGTGAGATAAGCCTCTTTCTGTCCCTTATATTGCATGCTGGCTACCCACTCTAGGGCGGGTATAGCCCTCACACCCTTAGTCCTAGCCAGAATGGTGCCAAACCAACCAGTGGGCTGATTTAGTAATCACACACCTCCCAGATTCAGTCACCTCTGAAAAAGCCCTATGACTGCATGAGGCTTTGAGAGGACATCTAGACACAAACCAGAACGTGCCCTTTTCCAGGACTGAGCCTGCAGTGGCAAGGGGACTGGCTGGTGCTGTCTGGGGGCCTCGGGGTCGTTGTGCGGCTGGACAGGTCCAGTTCAGTGTTGGTCTCCGTGGACCATGAGTTCCACGGACAGACACAGGGCCTCTGTGGACTCTACAACGGCCGGCCGGAGGGTAGGTGGGGTGTGGCCTGGCTGGTGGAGGGAGGAAGCAGAGACAGGACCCAGGTGCAGCCCTGTGCTTCACGCCTCCTCAGACGACTTCACGGAGCCGGGCGGGGCGCTGGCTGTGCTGGCTGCCACCTTCGGGAACTCCTGGAGGCTCCCTGGCTCTGAGGTGAGATTGCCATCCTAGGCCCCGCCTCCCTGTCCTGGGCGCCGCCTGCCTGTGCTCCCGGCTGGAGAGCACAGGCCCTGTCGAGGGGCAGGGCCTCAGGAGCAGGACGGGCAGACCCATATCCTACAGGAAATTCCGTGATGTTTCTGTGAACTGACCATCCACGGGACGCCCCCACCGAGCTGGTCACTACTGGCTCTGGCCCGCTAGCTCCTCTAACCCCCTACCTGTGGCTGACTGAAGCCCGGCTCTCCTGTCCCCACCCAGCCCTGTCACTTTGCTGCCTTCCACAGCCAGGATGCGGGCTGGTGGGTACGACAATGAGGGCAGTGGTGCAAACGTCCCTCATGGCTCGTCGCTGGCTGCCTGGCCCGGCCCCGTTTCTTCCCAGCCTGAGTGTCCAGACGCGGTGGAGGCAACCCAGGGCTGTGAGGGCCTCGTGGAGGGTGCAAAGGCAGGCATGGAGGCTGGCCAGCTGCGGGCTGAGGCCCGGGACGTGTGCCACCAGCTGCTGGAGGGGCTGTTCAGCCAATGTCATGCCCAGGTATGGGTGGCGTGGAGATGGTGATCCCTTCTAGAGGTGAGAAACCTCACATGGGTGGAGTAGGAGTCAGAGAGACGCCAACTAGGTGGCCTGGCCCCGCCACTACATTGCACTGGCCTTCCCTGTCCTGGGCTTTATCTCTGGGGACAAACTGGCTGTCCTCTGTGATCTCTGAGGTCCCTTCCAGCGCTCATCCTGTTTGGTTTTAAGTCAGGGCAGGATGAAAGCCGCAGGGAGGGTGGGAGGTGCTGGCGGGCAGGTCGTTGCTGTCCTTTCTCGGCAGGTCCCTCCTGATGAGTACCACAACACCTGCCTCTTTGCCTACTGCGCAGCAGCTGTGGCGGGCAGTAGCCAAGAGGGCCGGCGGGAGGCTGTGTGTGCCACCTTTGCCAACTTTGCCCAGGCCTGTGCCAGGCAGCACATCCATGTGCACTGGAGGAAGCCTGGCTTCTGTGGTACGGCCTGGCCTGCCCACCCTGTGGGAGTGACAGAGGGCCTTTGAGTGCGCCCCGTTTCCTGAAGGCACCCCCCCTGTGGCCCCTTTGGCTGTCTCCCATGGTCTCCAGCTCTGCAGGGCCCGTGGGAGCCCCTCACAGCCCACTCCTCTGCCCCCAGAGCGCCTGTGCCCGGGAGGCCAGCTCTACTCCGACTGCATCTCGTCCTGCCCAGCCAGCTGCTCCACGGTGGGCCAGGGTGAGGAGGGGCCCTGCGGAGAAGAGTGTGTGAGTGGCTGTGAGTGCCCGTCCGGGCTCTTCTGGGATGATACCCACTGTGTGCCTGCTGCCCACTGCCCCTGCTACCACCGGCGCAAGCGCTACGCCCCTGGCGACACTGTGTACCAACGATGCAACCCATGGTGGGTCCTCAAGCCTTGCTGGGGGTGGTGGCCACATGCTTCCCTTGGGTCCCTCCCTTTATCCTGGGGGAATCAAAGCCTGCCTCACCAGCTTTCGGGCCCCCCCCCCCGCAGGACCTATGACATCTCCTGGCATGATTGACAGCCCTTAACCTATACTCTTTCCGGTAGAGGTGGCGGGGGGAGGTGCCAGGAGAGGAATGGACCAGCTCAACCTCTCTATCTGGGTTGGGGCTGATGCCGCACTGCCCTGTCCCACCCCATGTGTCCACAGTGTGTGCCAGGATGGCCGCTGGCATTGTGCCCAGGCCCCATGCCCTGCTGAATGTGCAGTAGGTGGCGATGGCCATTACCTCACCTTTGATGGACGGAGCTTTTCCTTCCGGGGTGACCCAGGCTGCCGCTACATCCTGGTGCAGGTGGGCAGAGGGCAAACTCCAGGAAGTGGGTCTCCACCGTTTAGGACTCTCCTGGGGTCCTCCTGGGAGAGGCAACAGTAAGGAATGCACCAAATAAATAAGTGAAATACACAGCCTCAAAGGAAGAGCCCAGGGAGGGCAAGGCAGAGTGTCTCCCGCCTCCTCCTGGTCTGCAAAATAGCTCTTTTCCACAGAGGGGCCGGGGGACAGAGGGACCCTCCTCCCACCAGCCTTCCCCATAAAGTTTGGTCATGTGTATAGATGAACATGCATGTCCACAGGTGGAAAGGGGAATCAACCCACCCCATGTGCATACATGCACACACAATCATATGATCATGTGTACCTACACATGCATATAGCGCATGCACAAACGTGTGTGTGCACACACACACACATCCATGTGCACCAGCCCAGGGTGTGGGTCAGCCCTCACCTCACAGGCTGGCTGACTGGAAAGTGCTCAGCACCGTGTGGGTGCTGCTGCCTGCAGGTGAGGTAGGAGAAGGTGAAGGCAGAGAGGTCAGGCCTCCCCAGGGAGCCTGAGTGCCTGCCTTGCTCCTGTCCGCTCTGTCTGCCCCAGGCTCACACTCGGGAGCAACTGCTGATCGTGCTGGAGCACGGGGCCTGCGACGCTGGGAGCTGCCTCCACGCCCTCTCTGTCTCCCTGGAGGACACCCACATCCAGCTCAGGGGCTCAGGTAGCCTCAGCTCTGTCTCCTGCAGGTGCTGCCACGCCTGCTGTCCCTGCCCCTCGCCCTTTGGACTCGAGCACCGTCCAGCACCTGTTCTCCACACTGCCTGACACGACTCCCACAGCCAAATTCACTGCCTCAGTTTCCCCACACTCCTATCTCTGAGGGAGACACATAATTCGGAGCATATTACCCAAGCCGTCTTTCACCCTGTCTTCGGGGACAGCACCAGTCGTGAGTTAAGAGGTCCAAGAGGCCTTGAGCGTGACCAGAGCAGGCAGGCCCGCTCTCGGCTGTGGTCCCTCAAGCTCCCCACCCAGTTCTGAGTCCTTGGGCCACATGGAGAGGGCATCTCAGTTGGGTTTTGCTGGGTCCCAATCTGACCCAGAGCCTCCCACCCCCCACCCAAGCCCTTCCCTTCTGCGGCCCCGCCCTCCGCCTGTTGCCCCACCCCACGTCAGGCCCCTATTCCAGGAGCTGTGTTGGTGGACGGGCAGGATGTGGGCTTGCCCTGGACTGGCACTGCGGGCCTCAGTGTCTCCCGAGCCTCTTCCACCTTCCTGCTGCTGCGTTGGCCTGGGGCCCGGGTCCTCTGGGGAGTGGCTGACCCTGCGGCTTACATCACCTTGGACCCCCGCCATGCCCACCAGGTATGCCAGGAAGTGGGTGAAGGGCTGGGTGAGGCTGTGACCCGACTGGATTTGACCATCCCGCACGCCCTCCACGGCTCAGGTGCAAGGTCTGTGTGGCACCTTCACCTGGAACCAGCAGGACGACTTCTTGACGCCAGCTGGCGATGTGGAGACCAGCATTGCTGCCTTTGCTAGCAAGTTCCAGGTGGCAGGTGGCGGCAGGTGCCCTCCAGAGGACAGTGCTCTGCTCTCCCCCTGCAGCACCCACTCCCAGCACCTTGCTTTCGCGGAGGCAGCCTGTGCCATCCTGCACAGCCCGGCCTTCCAGGTAGCTGGGGCGCCTTTCCTATACCTGTACAGCTAAGGGTCTGAGTGAAAGGGAAGGCTACAGGGTGCAGAAAGGCAGTAATGCGGACGAAGAGGACTGAGGGGGGGATTCCCTGGAATGGAATGGAACTGACCCGTTTCTTCTCTCCCAAAGGCATGCCACAGGCTGGTGGACAGGGAGCCCTTCCAGCTGCGCTGCTTGGCAGCCGTGTGTGGCTGTGCCCCTGGGAGAGACTGCCTGTGTCCGGTGCTCTCTGCCTATGCACACCGCTGTGCCCAAGAGGGTGCCCTGCTGCTCTGGAGGAACCAGACCCTCTGCCGTGAGTCCCTTGGCCCAGTCACCTCCCCCAAGCAGCACCCCGCCTGCCCCGCCTAGGAGGAGCTGGAGGGGACTGGGCTTCTGACCTTGGGAGATTTCTGGACTTTTCTTTCATGTGGAAGCACAAGGGGTATAGGGCCCAAGGGGTGGCTATGCCTTTGATTTGCATTTGTCCCCCTTGTCTAGATGTTCCATGTCCTAGTGGCCAGGAGTACCAGGAGTGTGCCCCAGCATGTGGCCACCTCTGCGGGGAGCCAGAGGATTGTGACAAGCTGGGCAGCTGTGTGGCTGGTTGTAACTGCCCCCCGGGGCTGCTGTGGGACCCTGAAGGCCAGTGTGTGCCCCCCGGCTTATGCAACTGCCAACTCGGAGACCATCGCTACAGCCCTGGCAGTGTCACCCAGAAGGACTGCAACCGCTGGTGAGGGTGGCAGCTTTTGGGGCAAGGGGAAGAATGTGGCTAAAGAAGGGGCTTGTAAGAGAATGGGTTGGGCTGTGCTGCTGCAGGGTGACAGCGCACACCTCGGGGAGCAGATCCTTCCCCTCCGTAGGGGACGCTTTTGGGTCCAACAAGCACTTTCCCATACACTGCTAACTTAAGGGAGCAGGAGGTGGGCGACTTGTTCCCACTTTGCAGATGAGGAAACAGGCTCAGGTAGGCTGGATGGGTTGTTACTGAGAGATAAAGCCAAGAGCAAATCTGAGGAGGCAGGGCCGGGATCCAGAGCTTGGTGGGTTTGGGTGAGGTCCGGTGAGACCCCTCTCCTCTCTGGGCGGGGCGTGGGGTGATTCAATACCTCCACCCTTCTTCAGAGCCCCTAGAACGGTCCCACTGGAGCTAGGGAGACTGTCCTGTCCCAGGCATGAGGGACGCTGGCACAGGCTGCCTCCCTGCACTGTTGGCCGGGGTGCTGGGGATGAGCTGCTCAGGGCCCCAGCATCTGGGTTCCTGAGGCTTTTGCCAGGGCAGAGCAGGGGCCTGGAGGTGGAGGCCACCGGGCCAGGCTCTTACTCCCTCCATCCTCGGCAGTGTCTGCCAGGAGCGGGGCCTCTGGAACTGCACGGCTCACCACTGCCCCCCACAGCGGGCCTTCTGCCCCCAAGAGCTTGTCTATGCCCCCAGCGCCTGTCTCCTCACCTGCGACAGCCCTAATGCCAACCACTCCTGCCCTTCGGGTAGCACTGACGGCTGTGTCTGTCCCCCGGGCACCGTGCTACTGGTGAGGACGCGGAGGGGTTGTATGGAGCACTAGGGTGGCCCTCCTTACACCAGGGCACTGCCCTGCCCCTGGCTGTCCAAAACAGCATCCCCATCCTCTGCCCAGGATGAACACTGTGTGCCTCCTGACCTCTGTCCCTGCCATCACAGTGGGCAGTGGTACCCGCCTAATGCCACCATCCAGGAGGACTGCAACACTTGGTATGCCCAGTCCTACGACCTGTAACCTGACCTGTGACCCCTGGCTCCCCAGACGGCATGCTGCCCTCTGCTAGAAGGGCTTGTGGGGGCTGAAGTGGTGGGGCACCCAGAGAGCCTGGGTCCCTCATGCCGAGGACCTATGCAGACTTGCTGAACCTGGACTGGCTGTGGCCCTGTGTGCAGCTCCCAAGTTCCTCAGGGACTCTGTCCCCATCCCTTGCTCACAGTGTGTGCCGGGGCCGGCAATGGCACTGCACGGGCCAGTGGTGCAGCGGGCGGTGCCAGGCGTCAGGCGCCCCCCACTACGTGACCTTTGACGGGCTGTCCCTCACCTTCCCTGGGGCCTGTGAGTACCTGCTGGTACGAGAGGCTGGCGGCCGCTTCAGCGTCTCTGCTCAGAACCTGCCCTGCGGGGCCAGCGGCCTCACCTGCACCAAGGCCCTGACCGTGCGTCTGGACAGCACCGTTGTGCACATGCTCAGAGGTGGGGGGGTGTCACAGGTCCCAGTGTGGCGGGGACCAGGTTGTCCTTAGTGCGGCGGGCTGATGGCTTTTGGGAATCATAATTTCTGAAGGCTCCAAAAACCAAGGCCCAGAAAGTCTGATGACCTGCCCAAGTCACAGAGGTAGAGAAGCAAAAGAGTTTGGAAGAGGGGGCTAGGAGGGACTCACTATACCCAGGAGGTCTTTCCCTCAAATGCCTCTCTTCCTCCACAGGCCGGGCAGTGACAGTGAATGGGGTGACCATAAGGCCCCCCAAGGTCTACACAGGCCCTGGCTTGAGCCTGCGCCATGCTGGCCTCTTTCTGCTGCTGACGACACGCCTGGGCCTCAGCCTGCTCTGGGATGGAGGTTAGGCCGGCCCTCGTGTGCCTGACCCACACCAGCCCTTAGCTCCTCCGGGCTGGACTCCCCCAAACCCTCCCTGCCAGGGCCTGCTGAGCTCCGAGGTCAGGACTGAGACCCTGGCAAGCCCTACAGGGGCCATTTCTAACGTGCCAACTACTTCAGGACCCCCGCCCTCCTACCCTCCCCTGGGCACCCCCATCCCAGCACTGCCCCTGCCTTCCAGCCTATACCAGTGATTGGAGTTTCCAAATTGTTTTCCTAATTCTGTTTTCCTTCATGATGAAAGCAGTACCTCCTCACCCAAGAAACAGTTAGAAAATACCAAGTTTTAGGAAGAAGAAATGAAAATAGATCTCCTAACGTCCCACCACCCAAACATAAGCAGCTGGCGTGTTAGAAATTTAACTGTTGGTGAGAAACTGAGAGAAACTGAAATACCCGCTAGGGACCTGGCCTGGGGAGGGCTCTGGTGCTGAGGGTCTCCGCCTGTCCCGGAGCCAGGATTCCTGTGCTGATTGGTCTGATGGCGGAGTTCCCTGTCCTCCAAATGTCTGTCTTCATTTATCACCTATCACCCTCCAAAAAAAGGAGGGAACCAGGGCCCCATCAGACGCTATGCAGGGCAGTGTTGTGCACCCCAGGTTTTCTCCCTCTTCTGGCCTGCTGAGGGCCAGTGAGGTCATTTGGTTCCGTGCCGCGGCTAGGTACCCGGGTCCTGGTGCAGCTGTCCCCTCACTTCCGTGGTCGTGTGGCTGGCCTGTGTGGAGACTTTGATGGCGATGCCAGCAATGACCTGCGGAGCCGCCAAGGAGCCCTGGAGCCCACGGCTGAGCTGGCGGCCCACTCCTGGCGCCTCAACCCCCTGTGCCCCGAGCCAGGAGACCCGCTGCACCCCTGCACCGTGAGCGTGGGCGGGACAGAGGGCTGGGAGGGGGGGCAGCTCTGGGGCCTGGTGGGTGGCCCTGGGGCTGCAGACAGCACCCTGTGCTGCAGGTGAATGCCCACCGGGCAGCCTGGGCCCAGGCCCGCTGCGGGGCGATGCTACAGCCGCTGTTTGCCTCGTGCCATGCGGAGGTGCCCCCGCAGCAGCACTACGAGTGGTGTGTGTACGACGCCTGCGGGTGAGGAGGGCTGGCTGTGGGGCGTGTGGGGTGCTGAGGAGAGGAAGGGGGCGCCGGGCTGACCGCTTCCTCCCACAGCTGTGATTCGGGGGGTGACTGTGAGTGCCTCTGCTCAGCCATTGCCACCTATGCGGACGAGTGTGCCAGGCGTGGGCACCGTGTGCGCTGGCGCAGCCAGGAGCTCTGCCGTGAGTGCACCCTGCTCCCAGCCCTGCCTGCACTCTGCCCCTTGAAGGGTGCCCTCCTGCCCCTCTAGGTAAAGGTCACCCCAGGTCCAATGTATACAGGCTGCTTTGTGCCTGCCTGACGTTTTTCTAGATGAACCAAATGTGCAAGAACAGCTGCCCTGTAGGACCGATGTGTCAGTTCGCCAAGGGACGGGCTCAGCAAGGGCCCACGCCACACACCCATGTCACATCACCTCTCTGCTCTCTACCCAGCCCTGCAGTGCGAAGGCGGACAGGTGTACGAGGCCTGCGGCCCTGTGTGCCCCCCCACCTGCCATGACCACCGTCCTGAGCCTGGATGGTACTGCCAGGCCGTCTCCTGCGTGGAGGGCTGCTTCTGCCCCTCGGGGACTCTGCTGCACGGTGTGTGGTCAGAATGGCAGAGGCCACAGGGCAGCGGGGCGGAAGGGGCCACGGGCCGTTGCGGTGGGGCTGAGCCCTGACTCCCGTGCTCTGTGACCTCAGGAGGAGCCTGCGTGGAGCCAGCTGCCTGTCCCTGTGAGTGGGGTGGCAGCTTCTTCCCACCGGGGACAGTGCTGCAGAAGGGCTGTGGGAACTGGTGAGTGAGGCCCCCAGGAGGAGCCCGGACCCGTGGCCAGCCAAGCCCTGCTGTGACTGACCGCGGGACACTGTGCTCAGCACGTGCCAGGACAGTCAGTGGCGTTGCAGAGGTGACGGTGCCTCCTGTGAGGAGCTGGTGCCTCGCTGTGCAGAAGGAGAAGCTCCATGCCAGCTCAGCGGGCACTGTGTGCCACTGGAATGGCTTTGTGACAACCAGGACGACTGTGGCGATGGCTCGGATGAGGAGGGTGAGTGTCTTTGCCTGTGTGCGGCAGTGACAGGGACAGTGCCCCCAGGCTGGCTTCCTGAGCCGCTGCTTCCTTTGCCAAGAGCGATGACCTGAGCGGGTGAGGGGCAGGAAGGGTGCTCTCTGACCCTCTCATCCGTGCCAGGCTGTGCCACCCCAGGCTGCGGGCAGGGCCAGATGTCTTGCCGCTCTGGCCGCTGTGTGCCCCTGGCCCTGCTCTGTGACGGGCGGGACGACTGTGGAGATGGCACGGACGAAGAGGGCTGCCCATGCCCCTCTGATTCTCTGGCCTGCGCTGACGGGCGCTGCCTGCCCCTGGCCCTGCTGTGTGACGGACACCCCGACTGTCTGGACGCCGCTGATGAAGAGTCCTGCCTGGGTGAGTGGTCTCTGCTCGGGACCGCAGCCCACCCGCTCCCCCTTCCTCCAGGCCCAGCTTCGGGCAAGCCCCAACCTCCCCCACACTGCTCCCGTGAAGCTGGCTTGGGGGAGTGCAACCCAGACCGTGAGATGGGGGCAGGGTCCTGGAACCGGCTCCTCCTCTCCAGCTGCAGGGCAGGCGAGCTGTGTCCCTGAGGAGCTGCCCTGCATCGATGGCACCTGTGTGGGCGCCTTCCAGCTGTGTGACGGAGTCTGGGACTGCCCAGATGGAGCCGACGAGGGGCCTGGACACTGCCCCATGCCCTCTCTGCCCATGCCCCCTGCTGGCACCACGCCTGGCCTCTCCACGGGCTCCCTGGAAGGTGCACCAAGTCCCCTGGGCAGTGCCAGCCCTGGTGAGCCTCCCACAGGAGATGGGGGCAAAAGCTGGAGGTCTGACACCCGAAGGGGGCGGTCAGGAGGGCATCACAGAGGCCTGTGTTGGGCAGGGCCCTGGGGCTAGAGGCTAGAATGAATAAGTGGAAATTCCAGCACACTGGGAGGCTGAGGCAGGAGGATTGCAGGAAGGAATGAAGGGAGGCAGGCGGGGAAGGAGAGGAGAGTGAGAGAGAGGTGTTTGAGGGGGCGCTGAGGTCCCAACCTTATTTCCTTGAGTTCAGGGCTTCCCTCTGAGCTCACATAAGAAAGCAGGGCGGGTGGGACCCTGGGAAGCGATGAAGGGAGGTGGGCGCCTCAGGCGAGGTTCAAGGCCAGGCGGGGAAGGAGGGAAGTCCGCGGCTCAGGTCTATCCCCCAGCCCCACCCCGCAGCCCCCTGCAGCCCCTCGGAGTTCGCGTGCAGCAGCGGCGAGTGCGCCCCACGTGGCTGGCGCTGCGACCAGGAGGAGGACTGCATGGATGGCAGCGACGAGCTGGGCTGCGCCGAGGCCTGCGCGCCGCACCTCGTGCCCTGCGCCCGCGGGAGCGCGCACTGCCTGTCGCCGGGGCAGCTGTGCGACGGCGAGCCGCAGTGCCCGGACGGCTGGGACGAGGACCCGGAAGCCTGCGGTGAGAGTGACCCGCCAGGACGTCCCACCTTTGCCCCCTGCTGGGCACGCGTGGGAGCGCAGCTAGACAGGGACGGGTCTGGGGACCCCAGGGTCTGAAAGACTTATGTGTGCTGTAAAGCTTTGAGGTTTTTGCCCTGCCTTGCTGCCCTCCAGGAGACAGAAGAAAAAGGCTTTCGTCTTTGCTTACAGTGGGGCAGGAAAGGGCTGGAGGGAGGGTGGTAGCTCAGAGGGCCTGGGGAGCTGCTCTGCTTAGACACCCCAGGTCCCTCCCGCCCGTGCGTGGCAAAGTCAGCCCTGCAGGTCCTTGTCCCTTCTCCAGGCAGGAGGTGTCTGCAGGCCCTCCTAGGACCTAGTTTCTTTGGTGGGGTTGTTGCCTCTACCTCCCACCTGCCTCCCTCCTCCCGTGCCTTGGCCTTCCTGCTCCCCCCGGGGGGAGGGGACCTAGGGGCACAGGAGCACAGGACGGACTCCCCCCCACAGGCTCCGCGCAGCTGCCCCCATGCCCCGCCTCTTCCCCTGTGGCCTGGCCCCTTGGCCCCCTCCCTCTGCAATGAGTCCCCTGACTGTCCCCAGGGCAAGGATGAGCTGGGCGTGGTATGGGTCCCTCCTCCCCCTGGGGCCAAGGCAGGGGTGCACCAGGGGGTAGACTTGCTTTCTCTTTTCCCTAGTAGGGCTGCCGGCCCCAGGAGGCCACAACGGAACAGGTGTCCCCTGCCCGGAATACTCATGCCCTAATGGCATCTGCATTGGCTTCCAGAAGGTCAGGGTGGGGACAGGGGTGGAGGAGGCAGAGCCAGTGGGTCCCCAAGCCCAGGCCCAGCCTGAGCCTGTCACCTCCCCAGGTGTGTGACGGGCAGCCTGACTGCAAAATGGCCCTGGGGGAGACAGAGCCCTCCCCTGAGGAGCAGGCTTGCGGAGCCTGGGGGCCCTGGAACCCATGGGAGCCCTGCAGCCAGACCTGTGGGTCTGGGGTGCGGAGCCGGAGTCGTCGCTGCTCCCCACCCGGGCTCTCGGTGCTGCAGCGCTGCCCGGGCCCTGAGCACCAGTCTCAGGCCTGCTTTGCCGAGGCCTGCCCAGGTGAAGGTTGGGGACCCCAGGGAGGGACAGAGGCAGAGGGAACAGGAGAGACTGCTGTCCCTCGTGTCCCTCCCTGACCACTCGGCCCCTCCCCTTGCAGTGGATGGTGCATGGGGCTCCTGGTCTCCCTGGTCTCCGTGCTCTGAGCCATGTGGGGGCACCATGACGCGGCAACGGCAGTGCCACCCTCCCCAGAATGGGGGCCGGGCCTGCGCCCTGCTGCCTGGGGACCCTCACAGCGTCCGAGAGACCAGTGAGTGACAGGAAGAGGATCCCGGTGGGGGCTGGGGGCTCCATGGGACACAGCCACCCCTGACCTCCTTTGTGGCTCCGCTCCCTCACAGAGCCTTGCCCTCAGGATGGCTGCCCCAATGCCACCTGCTCCGGGGAGCTGGTGTTCCAGCCCTGTGCCCCCTGCCCTCTGACCTGTGATGACGTCTCTGGCCAGGCCGTGTGCCCACCGGAGCAGCCCTGCAGCAGCCCAGGTGAGGGGGCTCTGGGCCCGAGGTCTGTGGTGGCCACGCCCACACCTAGATGCTTACCCTGTGCCTTCCTCAGGCTGCTGGTGCCCTGAAGGGCAGGTGCTGGACAGCGAAGGCCGGTGTGTGTGGCCCCGGCAGTGCCCCTGCCTGGTGGATGGCACCCGCTACTGGCCTGGGCAGCGAATCAAGGCTGACTGCCAGCTCTGCGTCTGCCGGGATGGGCGGCCCCGGCGCTGCCGCCCCAATCCAGACTGTGCTGGTGAGCACCTCTTGCAGCAGCCCTTCCCTGGGATCCCCGCCGGGCGCCCACCCTTCATCCTGGCCCTGACTTCCTCCCTCAGTGAACTGTGGCTGGTCCTCCTGGTCCCCCTGGGCCGAGTGCCTGGGCCCCTGCGGGAGCCAGAGCATCCAGTGGTCCTTCCGGAGCCCCAACAACCCCCGCCAGTCTGGCCGAGGTCGCCGGTGCCTTGGCATCCACCGCAAGGCCCGCAGGTAGCAGCTGGAGCCCTGCCCACACCTCCGCCTCCCACGGAGGGGGCTTCCTGCGTGCCCTTCCCAGATGGACACCTCACATGTGCCCCGGGCCCCAAGTGTGGGACCTGCTGTCTGCCTTCTCAGTCAGAGCCCCAGAACTCCCCGGGGGCCCCAGAATTCTCCTGTTTCAGCTTCGTGGCTTGTATGTCCCATAAAGGCAGACTTCTGGAGGGCGGTCACCCTAGGCAAGCCCCTCCCCAGTCTGGGCTGTCGCCGTCTGTCACCAGGTGCCAGGTGGAGCCATGCCAGGGCTGCGAGCAACAGGGCCGCATGTGGCGTGTGGGGGAGCGCTGGCGCAGGGACCCCTGTGAGGTGTGCCAGTGTCTGGACCCCAGCGCTGTACACTGCTCCCCCTACTGCCCACTGGGCAGCTGCCCCCAGGTGAGGTGCCCAGGAGCCTGGGACAGGCCGGGTCTGGGAGGAGAGTGGTTCTGGGAGACTGGAGGAGTCAGAGGTAGCGGGTGGCCTGACTTCTGTGCCCTGCAGGGCTGGCTTCTGGTGGAAGCAGCGGGAGACTCATGTTGCCACTGTGTCCTGCCTGGTGAGTGGGCCTGGGGGTGGCCGAGGGGCCCCAAAGGGAGGAAGAGGATACAGCAGGGTCTGAGGAAGCTGAGGCGGTCCATCTTCCTCATCCTGGAGGTGTAGCCGCAGAGTAGTGAGGGTAGGAGTGGGCCAGCTGTACAGGTTATTCGCAGCAGAGCGCAACTAATGAGCGGGAGGACTCCAGCCCACAGGGAGCTTCCCTCCAGAGCCAGCTGCTTCCCAGTGCCTGAGGGGTGACTGTAAGGGACGGCAGCCCCGAGTTAGGAACTGCACCTGCTCCGTCCTGGCCCTACGTGGCTTTGGACTGCTAGTTTTATTCTGTGTTCTCCAAACGTTCAGTGTGTGTGAAAAACCCCAGTTCACACTGAGGGAAGAGGTGCCGTGCCCAGCTAGGGGCTTATTCTGGGGGTCTCACAGGAGAAAGTGCTCAGCCAGAACTGGTATGAGCCTCCCAGGGTCTCCCCACACAGGAGAGAACCAGACAGCACCCCCCATGGCCACTCCAGCCCCAGCTCCAGGCCCCAGCCCCCAGACTGGACCCCCTCTGGCCACCTACATCCTGCCCCCACTGGGAGGTGAGACCACGTGCTGTTGTAGTGGACGCTGAGGGGCATGGTGCCCTAGCTGGCTGGGCCTGGGGCGGGGGAGAGAGGCCCAGGGAAGGCCCCTTGCTCACCACACACTGAGGTCCTCCTGAGGGTCAGAAGCCGTCCTATCCCAAGTCACCTGCTCATCCCTGCATCCTGGCCCAAGGTCCCCTGTGTGTACTTTTGTACCCCAGCTGCCTGAGGCTAACTGTGCCCCTGGCACCTGTTACAGTGCCAGCCAGCCGCCTCTCTCTCCTGTACCCAGATCCCTGCTATTCACCCCTGGGCCTGGCCCGACCACCCAAGGGCAGCCTGAAGATGTCACCCTCACAGCTGGAGCACCCAACCCACATGGCCCTCCTGGGGGTTCCCACCGAGGCCCCTGGCCCTGGAGAGGACGCTCATGCCAAGCAGCAGCCCCAGCCTCCCTACCTTCAGCTGGACCTGCTGTGGGCCCGGAACCTCACCGGTCAGTGAGGAAGGGGAAAGGTGGGGATGGGGTGGGATGGGAGCGTCTGCTCCAGCACTAATCCTGTCCTCGCTCTGGCCCCTCCCAGGCATCATGGTGCAGGGCACCCGTTCTTCTGATGCTCGTATCCCCAGCTTCTTCCTCCAGTTCAGCAGCGATGGTCTACACTGGCATAACTATCGTGATATCCTGCCTGGCACTCTGCCTGTCCCCAAGGTACCAAACACCAAGGCCCCTTGGGTCAGCGACCCATTGGCCCCTTTGTGGGTCCCATAGTCTTTGACCTGAAGGGCCTTTCAGTCTCCCAGAGGGACAGTCCCTGCATTAGATCCTCCTGGAACACCTGGTAAGTAGCAGGGACTGAGCCGCAGAGTCGAGGGCCTGGGTACCACTGCCAGGTGGACGTCCGGAAACACTGAAGTGGTCCTACTTGGGCAGATGTCCCAGGGTTGGCATCCTCCCAAGGAAGAGGGGCCCCATGGGGCAGAGGACTCAGCCCACACAGGTAGCCACAACTTAAGAAGCACCTGCTCTGGGCCAGGTGCTGGACACAACCTGACCCAGCGGGGGGATCCTCAGCCGGGGTCAGACTCCCACAGCCTTGGGGAACCGGATGCTACTGCCAGGAGCATCCATGCCCTGAAGGCTGAAGGTTGGGTGGGCAGTGGGGGGAGACCCAGCAGGGCCAGGGTCATAGCAGGCGCCCTGTGCCACAGCCTTTCCCTGGGAGCTGGGCCGACGTGGCCCCCAAGGCCTGGACATTTGGCCGGATGGTCCAGGCGAGGTACGTGAGGGTCTGGCCGCATGCCAGCCACCACGGTGAAGTCAGCCGCAGCATCTTGCAGTGGGCAGAGCTGCTGGGCTGCAGGCCAGGTAAAGCTGGGCTGGGGTGGGGGTGGGGAGGGGCTGGAGGGGGCAAGGCGATGGCAGGAGCCCTGAGCCACACCCTCCCCCACACAGTGTCCCCGCTAGCGCACCCGTGCCCAGGGGCCGGGCTCCGCTGTGCCAGCGGGGAGTGTGCCCCAAGCGGGGGGCCCTGCGATGGAGCCGCAGATTGCGAGGACAGCTCTGATGAGGAGGGCTGTGGGCCCCTGCCCGTGGGCACCGGCGGGTATGGCGACCTCTGCCTGGACTCGGAGGGGATAGCCCTGTGGGAGATCTCCCCGGGGACTGTGAGCCCGACATACCTGGGCACCCCCAGGGCCCCATTCTGCCACAGCATTCTGGGGTTCTGTGCCTTCCCATAACATCAGCAGGGAAGTGGTTCTCACAGCGGGGTGCTGGTTCTGCCCAGCCCATGGCGGGGGCCCTGCAGATGGGCTTCACACCCCACCCCAGTTATCCTAACATGCGAGCAGGCAACAGCCTTGTTTAGAGCTCATCTTTCTCCAACTTAGCGGGCTGCGTCCTTCCTGGGTGTCCCACCCTGGCCCGTAGACCCCTGACCCCTTCCTGGATGGGGCCCCTTAGGCTGGGAGACCCCTGGAACCTCCTTGGTAATTTCTCCTTCCAGGGTCCATCCCACAGCCAGGACCCCAGCCTTCTCTTCCACCCAGCCCTGGGAGGTGAGTGGGGGGCTCTGGGGCAGGCACAGGGTGCAGGGAAGCGCCCAGGCCTCACTGCCTCATCAGGGCTGCTGCTGCCACTGCCCTCCTCACTGATTTCCTGCACTTGTGTTTCCTGGTGCTGCTCTGACAGGCCTTCTGGGAGCCTTCTAGGGCACAAGTTGGTGGTAGGGGGCCAGGGACCCAAGGGCCAGACAGAGGTGCCGAGAAGTGCAGGGCAGGGCACCAGCTTGGAGGAGTTTGGGAGACAAAGGGCCTCATGCCCAGCGCCTCCTATCAGAGCTGGAAGAACACAGTGTCAGGGTCTGCGCCGCCTGAGGGTGTGGACCAGCGCCTTGGGGTGCATAGCCCGGCTCATCAGCAGAGCAGTGCATAGTCCTCATCACACCTCCACCGCTTCTGGGAGCCAGGGGCAGGGGGAGGGGCCGTTCAGAGCCACCCTCAGGACCTGGGTCACAGTAGGTGACTGAGCCCCGTCCCTCTGCAGGGTCTGGCCGAGACTGGATATTGGCATCCCAAGAAGAAGTCTCCTGCACCTTCTGGGGGTATGTGCACAAGCTCCAGCGCCCCCCAAATCCCTGTCCCTTGCACACTCCCTGCCACTCCAGGGCATGGGGCATTGACATCTCACGGGCTCTAATCCTCTGACGGCCCTTGGACATGGCAGTGTCTCTGGCACCCAGAAGCTCAGGATACCCTCTCCAGGGTGTGTATTGCTTCCTGTCATGGCGAGGAGAAACGGCAGCATCAACTCACTTCCTCTTCCACCTACAGAGGAGAGACCAGGGAGTCCTGTCGCAGCCTCTGAGCCTCCCCACCCTCGTTCCGAGGAACCCATGCAGACTGTGGCCACCTCATCCACACCCGACCTTGGGCCCTTGAGCCAGCAGCCAGGAATGGCAGCCGTGACCGTGCTGCCCCCACACCCACTGATGCCGGTGACCCCAGCTGGTAAGACCCCGAGACCTTCTGTGTGCAAACCTGTGGGCCCAGCTTCGCTGTGAGGGCACAGAGCCCTGGAAGGTTGGTCAGCGTCACGCTGCTCAAGGCCGTTTTTGGCAGAATCAGGCCAAGACCCAAGTTTCCTGACCCAGTTCACTCCATTTCTATCATCCTGAGAAGGGCAGAAAGTGGGCCACCCCAGAAACCAAGAGTCAGAAGGTTGGGGGCTGCCTGATCAGCTGGCTGTGGGATGCCAATGTCCATCTACTCATCCACCCATCCATCCCCCATCCATCCATCCATCCATCATCCATCCATCCATTCATCCATCCATCCATCTATC